CCCCGCTTACCATCTTACCCCGAATCACTCTATGCGTTGCAGTCAAACCAGTTTTTAGTTAGGATGCATTTTAACTAGTTAAAACTAGTTTATACTGGATGTGTTTGTTAAAACCCGTTTTGTGTAGTTAAAACTAGAATTTACTGCTAGTCAAAAATGAATTTGAGTTAAAACTAGTTTTCACTAGACAAAACGGGTTTTAACAAAGACATTCAGTATAAACTAGTTTCAACTAGACAAAACGGGTTTTAACAAAGACATTCAGTATATAAACTAGTTTCAACTAGTTAAACCGCGTTCTAACTAAAAACGGGTTTTGACTGTAACATATATATATACAAATGTTAGAATGATGGGGAGGAAGTAAATTGTTTAAATATAATTAAATTTAATCCCACTTGAGATATAACATGACCTTCCTTTAACTCCTCCTTGACCTCTAACTACCAAAATTACCAAAATTTAATAGCATCAATGCCTCATATATAGAAATAAATTTGCCAAGTTTCAAAAGTTTTAGTTTATCCAGTCCTGAGATATAATGCAAAATACATATCAACACACACCCACAGAATTTTGTAAGGTTTTTTTTTCCTCAAATGTCAAAACATTGAGAAATCCAAAAAGACTGGGGTAGTCAGTTATTAATTAAATTATTTATATTTATAAAAATTTCTAATTAATTTTAGAAAATTAATTACTTTATTATTAAAAACTATAATTTATATATTTGTTTTTCATGAAGAATAAATTATATATTTATTTTTGTTAAAGACTCCTTCTGCAAAAATTTCAAATAGGACATGTGCTGGAATATTTAATTTTATTACTTGGAACAATATCAAGAATTTAGTAAGTATATGTTTGTATTATAAAAGAACATATTTATATTTATATATTTAGACAATAAATGAAAGAATCAGTTTACAATTATTTGTTTTGTTAAATCTCTTACGATTTTCCATATTTGCCTCTTTTATGGTAGGTTAAATTTTATAATTAGTTTTGTTAACATATTTAAATCAATAAACTAAACCTTAATACTTTATTAAGGTTTAGTTTATTGATTTATTTTTGACTATCCAGTGTTTCATCTGAAACTCAATTTATAATTAAGTTTCTGTTTAATATTTTGTCTAGCATATATACAGGGTGATTCAAAATGTTAACAACATAATACTGGATATGTAAACAATGACTATTCACAAAGACAACCAGAATCCAGCAAATAAACAGATGCATGAATGTTTTCACCTACTTTTCAGTAGACATCCTCAAGTATAATATGATTCTATGAGAAAATTCTTCATTTAGAATTGCACGTGCCGCGTAATAGGTGTGGCACCTGGCTATTGGATATATATGACGTTTCAGAATTGAGTTGGATGGAATGTCATCAGCTAGATGTTGGTGAACGTAAAACTTCCAATCCATGGTGAATGACTCCCATGTCCTTATGGTTGATGGCATGTGGCCTTGTAGATATCATTCTTCTCCAGATGTCATTCTGCAATATACATATCCACCAATAGCCAGATGTCACACCTATTATGCTGCACATGCGATTCTAAATGAAGAGTTTTCTCGTAGAATTATAATATTACATCTGAGGGTGTCTACTGGAAAATAGGTGAAAACATTCATGCATCTGTTTATTTTCTGGATTCTGGTTGTCTTTGTGAGTAGTCTTTTTGATTTAGAAAGTTATTGACAATTGTAAAGGAGTGTAGCGAGGAATTGGAATAGAGTAACTTTCTGTTAGGAACTTGTGTTCTTCAAAGTAATCCTGAGTCAGTACAAGCCTTTGAATTTAAGGAACTACACTGTGGAAGTAATCATACATTGCAAAGAGGCATTGGATTGTTGCTGCAACCTTTAATTGTTTCACTTAGTACATTCACACCATCTTCATGTGTACTTAGTATTTGTGTATGCAGAGGTCTGTGGGTTGTTTGTGTTGTTCAGTTGAAAGTTGGTGTTCCATTTTGTGATTCTATATTAAATTTTCTTTCATGTCACTGGATAACTTCTCTTCAATATTCAATCTCTACTTAAATATATTTGTTGTATATTGCAGAATTAATAAAAAGAAAAGTAACTGACTGATCTTATAATAGATTTGGCAAATAATATGTTTTGCATTATGTTCAAAGAATATTGCTTTATTAAAAGAATTTTATACATTTTTATTTAATTAATTATATGGGTTTTTTTTCAATATTGCAATTTGTGGTATTGTATCAATATAATCCACTTTGTTTTTATTTCTACAAAATTGAAAGTTCTTGAGGTCTATAAGCATGAATTAATATTTTGGTAAAAGAATAGTCTGGAGAGTGGAATGTAGGTACTATTTACATTAATGATCCAGCAAATGCAGACTTGCTCTGTGCAATTTCATTTTCATGATGAGGAAATTGCAAATCTATACCGCCACCATGGATGTCAAAATCTTTGCCAAGGTAAACGTATGACATGCTGAGCATTTTATGTGCCACATTTCACAAAAGTATTATTTCATCAAATAAGAAAATAACTTTTAGGATATTTATTAGCTTTCTGTTAACTGTAAGGATCATTTGAAACCAAATATTCTTCTAGATCACATTCTGTTTTACTATCATAAATCTTATAATCAAGGAATAAGTGAATAAATAACTGCACACCAAAATTTGTTCAGGTTTGTGTGGACCTCATGATTCATCTGAAAATTCTGACAGTTAATTTCATTTTCTTTGTATTATTATGCACTTTAAATGAAATTTATTTAAAAAAATATGTACTGATTAGTAAAATATTTTTTAAAAATTCAGATTTTAATTTACCACAGGTACAAAAATCACCAATGTTTTTAATTGTTTTATTTTTGATGTGAAAACTGATTTAAAATTTCATTGATTTTTCCCCCTTCCCTTTCTTTTTTAAATACAAGAAAAGTATGGAGTTCAGAAGATAATGTTACCATTTTAAAAACTAATTATTTTTCTTGAAACTATATATATATAAACTTGTTATTTAACAAACAACATTAACAATTTGTTTGTTTGTTTTAAGATGACATTAGAAATTTTATTTGTATATATATTTTTTAGCACTTTATGCAAAATTAGATGTCTTTATTTGTGTTCATGGTATAAAGAATTCTTTTGCTGGATGGAAAAATTTAAATGTGGATCTGATTCACAGGTATGTTTTCAGTAATTAAAAATAGGAATTAACTTAAGTTGGAGATAGCATAAATTTTATAGAATTTTTCCCCTATATAAGGAATCAATATTAATCAATTTTATTACTGTAAAAGTTTAAATACATAAAAGTCAGACTAATTGTTTACAGGAAGTTTAAAACAGCTCAATTTTGTGAATCAGTTTTCCTATACTGTACTTTTGATAGATTTTCTTCAACATAATTTGTATATATATTTATATTATACAACTTTTAAATTGTTTTAAGCATTCTTAAATATTCGTTATTTGAGAAACATTAGTTCTGTCAAATATAATTTTCGTAAATATGAAAATAAATATTTAATTTTTATAAATTTCTGATATTTTAGATAATATTTAAATTACCAAAGTGTCTCAGTGAATGGATCCAGAAGGAAACAAATATTTTTCTAACTTTAAATAGGTATTTAAATTTATTTACTAAGTTAATTAATAATAAAATTATTGAAATTTAAAACTAATTTCATTCTCAAAATTAAAGTATAACAATATTTTAATATAAACTGTTATAATTTACAAATATGAAAATAGAACAAACTAATTATTAAAGGCGGGATTTGTATGCACATGCTTGTTTTTTCTTACATATTATGATGTTGGAATCTCAATATAAATATGATTTGGGTTTGAATGAATCAAATTAAGGTTTCTGATAATGCGCATTTTGTATGCATTTATGATTTTTACTTCATATTTTGCAGTAATGATAGCTAAAAGCTGTTGAAAACATTTGTTGGTAAATTTTACATGTTTCTTACTTGAATTTGAATGTAAACTTCAAGACTAAATAATTGTTTTGTAAACTTGACAGCTTGTTTGCATGATCTATTGTTCTTTTCTGCTATCTGTGCAGTGAATCTTTTTTGTGTATGTACACACAAGACTTCACTTTCCAATTTCAGATGAGCATGTTTTAAATTTAAACCATTTAACTTATTCTTTAAAGTCCTGCAAATCTATAAAATGTACCACTATATCTGAAAAATGAAATAATGGACCCCCTGTTTTTATTACATTTTTAATTTTCTCATCTTTTAGTATGTAAAATGACAAAGTTTAATCAAAATTAACTGATCAAATTTTGAGAATAAACTTAATTCTATAAGCCATATAGAAGAGGCTTTGCTAACACTCCATCCCAATATTTTTAATTCCAAATTTTAAATTATCAAAGATTAGCAAGAATAAAAAACTGAATTATTGAAGGAGTGTAATTGGGCTAATTATTAACAATCCAATTGCATAAGTTGGTGTAAAAGTACATTAAGCTGAATCTTTAAGCTAAATTACATAATTAGAGCATTTATAGCCAGTGGATGATCTGGCTTTAGATCATGATTATTTGAAGATTGGACTGTGGTTTATGTTTGATAGATTTTTGTGGAATGAATTACTTGTTATTTAAATATATATATAATATGTGTCTACATTTTTATTGTTTTAATATAAACTTTATTTATTTTATATAATTAAATTGGAATAACTTAATCTGTTTTTGAGGTTCTTATCTATCTGTATAAAACTTTTAATACTTACTTAATAAATTATATAATTAAAATTTTTAATTGCATTTACTATAGTGAAAATGAATTAAATGATGATGACTCATTTGTGAAAAGTGATCATGTTCCTTATATGATGGTTGAAGATGTTGGAGGTCAGTTATCGTTTTATTATAATTAGATTATATTATATTGTTTTCAAAGTGCTCCTGTATTTATTTTAAATATTTACTATAAGCATAAATAATTGTGAAATTTAATATTAGTCAAAATATTAGTTAGTTACATTGAATATAACATAGTCTAATTTATCAATCCCCAGGAATTTTTCAGGGGGTGGTCCATTCAGATATGTCGGGCTCTGTCCCTCACCACCCGGCAGCCCCATTGTGGGCCTGACCGAACCCATAATGGGCTTGCAAAAAGAGGCCCTCTTAGTGCCCACAAGGTGGAAAGAGTAAAAAAAAAAAGTCTAATTTATCAAAATATTTTATGAGCCATTCTGTTCTATTAGTAGAGTTGTTATATGTTTAGTTAGATATGTACCAATAGGTTCAGGATTCATTACCTTCAATTTTCAAGTATTTTAAAATAATATCAACATTGTGATTAAATAAGTTATTGTTATCTAGCGTTTATTTTTTACTCTGGGCACTAAGACTTTTTTTTACCAGGCCCATTGTGGGTTTGGCCAGCTCACAATGGGGCATCTGGAAGATGACTGACTGGGCCAAACGTATCCAGAACAGACCACCTGTAAAAAATTCCTGGAATTTTCTGCACAGATTTAATCTGAGTTCCCCTAGAGCAGTGTTTTTCAACCTGTGGGTCGCGACCCCCCAGGAGGGTCACGAAGCCTTATACGGGGGGTCGTGGGTAAAAGAAAAAGACAACTGTTTGTAGGTCCTACACTACATTAAAAAAAAACTACAATTTCAGCGAGAAGGCTGTACCTGTTTATTATACAGTACAGTTGGTTTTTTGATTGACATTTAGGTTCGAATGATGGGTGTCGCCTGGGATGGGCCTGGATGGGTACAAAAATGATTGCTGAAAAAGTATTGAGCTGACTTGTAATAAGAAGTAATTAGTAGAGAAGTAAAAGTGAAAAACCCTCATCCTAAAAAGAAAAAAAAAAAGGTCAACAGCACTCCGAATCCATTGTTATTATTAGAAGGAAGTAAGATACTATACGTGTCTTAAGTTATTGTTGATTCTCCTTAAATTCTCATTTTAGTCATCAACAGTAATTTTTCTCAACAGAAAGAAAATTAAATACATAATTTTTTAAATCACTGATATAGTTTTAATATGGCCCTAGGGGAGTCGCCAGAATTTTTTAACTTGTAAAGGGGTCGCGTATTCAAAAAGGTTGAAAAACACTGCCCTAGAGTAACAGGCATCAGCCTTTACTGCCTTAGGCTAAACACATACTGAACAATGAGCAAAGCAGCAATGATAATGGAGAATAAAGTGGCAAAAATAAACAAACATATTTATTTTAGGACACATGTAGTGAGACTTGCTGCACTGAAGCAATAGTGGTGTTCCAATAGAGCAAAACAAAGCATTCAAACAAGTTGATTTTTCTGCTTTTATCATTGTTCACACACAGATAAAAGTGAATGTCAATGAATTTATAAGTAGTGTTTTCTCTAAGAAATTTTTTTTTGGATCAAAAAGATTCTCAATATCACAATAGCTTTATTTTAGATAAACTGTAGGTGATGTATTTTCTCCAAAATATAATCAAACATTTAAATATTCATTTGAAAATATGAATAGAACTTGTCCATTCATAATTTCACACAAATTATGAAATTCACTATGTATACTTTCTACTTTGATTTATTATGTAAGCATTACAGCTTCTTTTAATTTTTTTTTACTACATTTTACTTTCAGTTTTTAATAACTATCAAATTTTTAAGGATAAATTTTCTGTGAATGGCAAATTTATATTTTCAAAAATAGTTCTTGTTCAATTTAAAACTCATCAGTATGTGTATGCAGCTCTATCATTCAGTAGAAACTGTTCTTGGAATAAAACACAATACTAGTTTTTACTACACCACAATTAATTATTTTAATTTAGTCTATAATTTTATTATTGAAATAATACAAGAGAGTTAAGTGCTTAATTGTAGAAATTTAATATTTGCTAATAAAGGTTTTATTAATAATTAATTAATTATATTTACTACATTAAATAAACATAATTGTTTAATTATTTTAGAGAATTTATTTTATTTTATGCAATTAAAATTTATTTATCACATATCAAATTTTAGAAGTAATTGGAAGAGATGGAAGGACAGAAATAGTTACCAAAAAAAAGAAGAAAAAGAAAAAATCTTGTCAAAATGTAGACGTAAGTTGTAGTTTGTGTTATTGATATTAGTGAGGTTGCAGTTGAAGTTTTCAATACAAAAACGTGAACATTGGATGTTCAGCGCTGCCATCCTGTAAGCCTAGAAGTTTGATAATGGCATTTAGAACATCAGTGGAATCATGCTCGATGTTCCAACACCATTGTAAAACTTCTAGGCTTTCAGGAAGGTAGTGCTGAACATCTGACATTCACGTTTTCATGTTCAAAACTTCAGCTGCAACCGCGCTATTGAAATTTTTTATCTTCAATGTTATAATTTTATTTTATAATAATTTTTAATAGCTTACAATTAATCTTTCAACATTTTTAACTGTAAATTACCAGATTTTTGATAGTTTAACTGGTAACATAAATGCATGATAAATAAAAATGGTGGATTCAAGTCATGTTCTAGATTTGTATTTTTCTGAAATTCTCTAAATTATTTAATTAAAATTATTTTATAAATATTAATTCTAACAAAAAATAAGTCTAACTGTTTACTTTTAGGCCAAATTCCATTGTTTGTTTAATTAATTAAAAATTATCACTTTCTCTCATTTCTAATGTGAATTTATTTTTTTTTAAATTGAGATGCTCATTAGAATTAAGTACAAAGTCATCTTAATGCAGCCTCAATTTTTGTATTACCTTCATTTACTACAATTACAAATAATTATAATTAATATACAAAAAAAAATATTTCTTATTCAGATTTAATATTAAATTTTTCATTAATGATGTAATAATTATAGTATATTATGTAAAATTACTTGGTGGATCAAAATCTTTATATGTACAGTACAGTACATAGCAAATGGCTTACTTTATTAAACACACACAAAATATGTTTTGTATGAATATCTTAACTGTATACATATGGATAAATTCTTCCCATTCGTAGTAAATGTTTGTTGACACATTATGAATAAATTCTTCTAAGTTATATGAATTTTGTGGCTTAGTGTGATGCACTTGCTCTTTAGCTAATCCAATTATTAATTCATTCAGGTACTATGTATAAAGACTTCTAATTTGACTTTGCTTGTATACAGTATTTATCAACATAGGCAAATAACAAAGAAAATAATTAAAATATAATTCTTGAATATGTGTTTATTAAGAATTCACTGATAGATCATTTTTACATTATTTTTAAAACATAAAATGTACATTTTACAAACTATATTTGTTTTTATACAGGTGGAACAATTGAAAGAAGTTTTTAACAGAATATTTACTTTGGAATGCCTGAATGCAATGTATAGAAATATTCAGGATACTGGATATTTATCAAAATATAAGATACCTCATCCTACCAGATCCAAAAAAGAAAAACTAAATATTCAACTAGAAGAGACAAGAAAAAATATAAATTTAATGAAAGACAAGGGGGTTTCAAAAAAAATTCAGAAGAATTTAATACATAAAACTGCAATGAAGATATTTAGTATAATTGCTGGCAATAAAGCAAAAAAATGTAAGAAAAAGAAAAATTCTCTTCACCCTAAAACTAAGAAAAACGTTAATAAAAATAATACATAATTTATAACTTTGAAAGTAACTCTTTCTCACAAGTTATTGCATTATGGAGATAAAGTGACAAATCTCAGATTAAGCTCCTAAGGATTAGGATCATAGTTTAATAAATTTTCTTTCTATTGTGATTATCATTCCAGAAAAGTGGCAGTGCTCAGAATGTTATCATGCATTAGGACTGTCCTTGTTATTTAGCACTTATACACAATTCTTATCAATCAGATGTAGATTGTTTAGATGGCTGTGCAGTAAGATGCCACTCTGTTACCCTGGAAATCTGGATTTGAATACAATCCTCACTTATAATGGACACAGTTACAGGCAACCAATATAGCCTTAATATGCTAGTTCCTCACATTAAGTAGTTAATCAGTTATAGATTACAAAAATACAAGTATTTTTCATAAAAGAAAAATAACATTCATTAGACTAAATGCAGCAGTGAGACCAATAGCAAACAAGTACCGCGAGGGAAAGTTGAAAAGAACTTTGAAGAGAAAGTTCAAGAGTACATAACATTTATTTATATGCATATTAATGATATTTATAACTCTATTGTTTTTACATATCTGTAAATTTTTATGATAAATTTATTTTACAGTTAATTTTTGCATAAATAATTTAAACATTTCAGTTTAAAATAGTTATTATTGCTTTAATGTTAATTAAAATAACTCATTTAAAACTTTTTTAATTTTCAAGTTAAATGTATATAGTAAGTTGTATTTATAAAGACAAATTAATTAATTTATTTTAATCAAAAAATCATATATATAAAAGTATTGTGCAAATTAAAAATTTTCAAAAAATTTCTGGCACACAGACAAATGTGTATATCAATAAAAATATTCTAAATCGATGGAGTCAGATAATCTATTTTTTACCGTATTGTACTATTCGTTAGTACACAGAAAACTACTAGTTTTTCATGTACTAATGAATAGTACAATACGGTAAAAAAAAAAAA